GAAAGATAAGTTGAGACCAAAAACATATCATTTTCACCAAGAGGGAAGTCAACCTTGTATAATAATATGAAATATTCTGCACATATAACTTTATTTGCTTTTCAGGACTCTGCTAGGCCATAAGTCCACAGGTGATATTATTCACATGTTCAAGTAAAGGAAACAAACAACAAAAACAAAACAAAAAAGAACTAGAAAGCCACAAAATTTGGAGCACATCTTCTTACTTAAGAGCCAATAAACTTTCCATTGCACTCTGTTATTTTCTTACCTTTCTGTACTAGGGTGATAGTCATACTAACCACACAATACTAAAACGTGATGGAGTGAGATCCTTAGTAGCCATCCTTTCAAGTAGGTTATGAGAATTAAACTAAGTCAACATAGGAAAAGCACTTAGGATAAAGCTTTTCAGTTATGTGCTTGAGTGTGTGTATCATACATAGATTTTTTTATATATGGACATGCACAAACTTGCATAAATATTCTAGTACACACACACACATACACACCTTGAAAAGGGAAAAGTGACTAATAATTAGCACAAACAGGCTAGTAGGACACCTGTATCAGTCCTCTAACCTTAGAGATCCCAAAATAAAAAGAAGTTTTTCTTCAGTTTCTTCATCCACTGGTCCTGGAGAATAAATGTGTTTCTTTAAAGTCCTAAGTCTGGGGGTGGGAGTGGAGGCGGGGATTGTGGCTCAGTGGTAGAGTGGTAGCCTAGCACATGTGAGGCCCTGGGTTCTGTCCTCAGCACCACATAAAAAATAAAATAATAAAATAAAAGTGTATTTAAAAAATAAAGTCCCAAATATCCAATCTAAAGTGGGAAAAGGAGAAGTTACTTTAGGAACTGTGATATTATTCACATGTTCAAGTAAAGGAAACAAACAACAAAAACAAAACAAAAAATAACTAGAAAGCCACAAAATTTGGAGCACATCTTCTTACTTAAGAGCCAATAAACTTTCCATTGCACTCTGTTATTTTCTGTGAAGTAGAGATACAAAGAACTTCCCCAGCCCAGCCCAGCACCTACCTAGGTTACACAGCCAGGGGCATTCTGCAGGCCCACCAAGTGTTTCTTTCTCAACTTTGGGTCCACAGGACACTCCTATCAACTAAAATGCTTTCTGAGGAGGAAAGGGAAGTGGCTCAACTTCTTGACCTATTTCCAGGTCACTTCTTGTTCAGGCTCAGTTCTCAGGTTTCTATACCATCTGGAGGTTGTTCTTTCACCTTGTTCCCTAAGTAATTTGGGGGAATTTCTAAGCTAATAGGGAGGGATGTGTGTGTGTGTGTGTGTGTGTGTGTGTGTGTTTGGGGGTGGCTGGCATTTGCCCATCTCTTCCAGTATCAGGGTGCTGCAGGAGTCCTTAATGCCTGATAAATGACAAAATGACAATGTATCTCCTGCTAGGCTAGTGTAGTCACCATATAAGTCAGTTGTCTGGATAGTGGAGAGTCACCAAGGGGACTTATTAAACGACGGGAAGGAACAAAGTGTTCCAGAAGGAATTAAGAGACAGAAAGACTACAAACAAGGAGCTGAGGGAAGGAAAAACAGGAGATACTAGAGAAGAAGTCTAGCCGGTTCTAGAACAAGATGAAAGAGAAAACCTAAAACCTCTTGGTGGATGCTAACAGTGCATTGGCAGTGCTGGCGCTCGGGCAGCATCTGTGCTGGGGCTCCAGCATTGACGTTGGCCGGGTGTTCTCCTCCACCTGAGCCTGCAGCACCGCTCGGGCTGGCAGGGCGTGGGGTTGGGAGAGTCCGGACAGGCTGAGACTTGGGAGACAGAAGAAAAGCGCTGGACCCCGGAAGCGAGGCTGCTCTCACGGACTCCAGCACTAGGAAGAGCGGGGGAGGGGGTGTAACTGGGGGAGATGGCATTTCCTGGCCCCTTTTCTGGGTGTTTCTTTCTGGTCCTGGTTATTCAAGATTTCCCCCTTGGAGGTCACGTTCATCGGGCAGGGCACCCAATGAAACATGCTGCGGGCAAGGAATTTTAATAGGGAACAAGCCACGTGGTTCGGAGGGCCGGAGTGGGAGCCCCACATCAGCGAACTCGGGCGGGATTTTCTGCCCCTTCGCAGTGTCAACCCTGGGCCACACGTATTCTTGCAACTAGTCCTCCCGGCTGAGCTGTGAATGCAATCTCTAGGCTCTGGGTGTTGTCGCACCACAGAATCTAGGAATGCGTTGCTGGGTCCTTGAGAACTTTCTCATGGAGAAATGGATTTGTCTCTCCAGTGCCGGCGAACTCGTGCAGAAATGTCTGTATGTCCCTTCCCAGACCCTATGGTTTCCGCAGGCCTGTGGGCATAAGCGGTACCCCGCAAGTACATCCTGGAAAATACTAATGTCTCTACCCACGAACGCCTCGGAGAAGCACAGACAAATGAAGAGAAGAAATAGGAATCTGCTTGACTGTACACCTGGAGTTCGCAGATTCTAAGCGCCCGGTCAATCCTAGGTATTATTCCACTGATTGGGACACAATAATGCGCGTGATGCAATTGGCTGGCTTTAGGACCCGCGGTTCTGGCACTTCATGCTTGGGCCACCTGGCGCGGACTTTTGGGATTAGCTTGACTCCACGCCTACATGACCCTGTAACCTTGCTTCTCCAGCAGCTGTGTGAAGACATTTACCTTCACAGCTGCAGCCAGTGACCCCAGCAAACTCGCAAGATAGGCGGGATCATAAAATACGAGAAACTTCCTTCTGAGAAGGTCGAAATACAGGAGAGGATTACTATACATCTGAAGGCTTGAAAATGCAGCATTAAAATAAAACATTTCTGAGTTTGCCTTGGCTAAAGGAAAAACTAGTCTTGGAAAACCTTTACCCCTACTTCCCACTAAAATGGTCTTGTGGGCCGATTGAGCAGCACACCTACCCAGCCGTAAAGTACCTGCCAGGAACACACCTACCAGGATCTCCTGGGCAATAGCTTAGCCAAAGCTCTGCGTCCTTTCTGATTGTATGATTCAACAATGGGAAGGAACAAAGTGCTCCAGAAGGGATTAAGAGAAAATCTACAAGTGAGGAGCTGAGGGAAAGAAAATCAGGAGACACTAAAGAAGAAGCCCAGCTCCTTCTAGAACATGAGCTTGTGAAGAACCACACAAAAGAAAACACAGGGGCTGCTCTAAGCGTCTGTATTCATCCTTCAGAAAACGTGATTCCAGACCATGAGGAAATTCTTGACAAAAAGCAATATTTGTCTACCTTTGTCCAGAACCCATTTCATTCCTACCTGAATCCCTAGCAGATAATGAAACTGCCTTGCTGAAAGAGATTCCAGAAGAGCCAGATGGAAAAGAAAAGGGATTTCCAGGGTTTTTTTGAAAGTTAGGCCCCAGGACAGCACACACTTGTTTGTTTTTTAATGGATTTTTTGCTCCAGAGACCCGATAGTGTAGACAATGTAGTCTGCCTATTGGGTATTATGATTTATGACTCTCTTGAGGCCCATTTTTCGTTCATCTTCAGATATCTTTCTCACTTCTTGTCATCCAATTTTCTTCACAACCAATCTTGGTCTTTCTTTAGAAAGCTCCCTTTAGGTTCAATTGGTTAGCTTATTGGGAAAAAAAAAAATTCTTCAGGGCTAAAAGTAATTTAAAGATCGTAGAACATACCTTACTTATTTTATAGGTGAGAGAACCAAGCTGGGGGAAATCATATGATGTGTCAACCAAGATGCAGGGTCACACTAGTCAATAGATAGAAATGGAACTGTTCTTCTCACCACACCTTGATGGGAATGAATGTAACAGGTCATCAAACTGTTGATTAGGAAAAGTGAAAGCAGGACTCAAAGAAACATAGCACCCCCAAAAATGTATTTGGATGATCCTAAGGACGCCAATGCTTTTAACCAAGATGGTCAAACACCCTGTAAATACATCTCTGTGCCCATACCTTATCTTTACCTGCCCCCTACTCTAAATCATAACTTGTTTTGTGGTGCCTTAAGAAAATGAAGGTTTTAAAATACTTTAAGGAAAAGCTATTGAAAAGTCTGTAGAGACCTTGTGTGATTTCTGGATTCAGACTTTTTCAAAAATGTCTCTCAGACATAGGGGGAGGTAGGCAGGATGTGAAATAAGGAGGGAAAAAATAGGAGAGCTGGCACCTATGACAGCTAAACCAGTGCACTATTTCTAGAACATACATAGAGTCTTTGGAGATGCCAATAGATTATGAGCAAACTACCATAAGACCTAAGGGATCATTGTTCATTTGGTTTTGTGTCTAATAGTTACTGGATATACCACTGACACAAATATGTTCTATTTAACTATGAATATTGTCAGCATAAAGAGTGCAGAGGAACTTTTCATACAGGAAAAGGAGGAGAGTTATCATTTCTTCTATATGAGAATGTTTCAGGACCAGTTTTTTGCTTGCTTGTTGTTTCCATAAGCTGTGTGGATGGTGAAGTCTTTAGAAGGAAAACTGTGTCCTGGACTCAAACCAGGATCTTTTCATCTTGATTTCTAGAGAAACTCTCTACCAGGGCCTCTTAATAGATAACAAAAGATTGAAGGGTTTTGGAATATGCCATACTCTTCCACGTAGGAATCACTACTAGAACCTAAAGTGGGCCTTTCATCTGTTTTCCCACATACAGATCTGAAAATTATCTCCCAGCATTTATGAAGATGCTCTTTACCCTGCCATGAAAAGAATGCAGACATCCTAGTGACAGGTTAGTTGCATAGGGCATTTTGTCTAAATGAGTTCTTTGCTCAAGAAGCCCAAAACTTTGCAGCTAAATATTTTCCATAACTTATCTTCTTTTAGACTCAACTTGACTTACAGTAAATAAATTCAAATGGGAAAAGGCTATTATCCCTCTCTTCTGCTACCTCTTTCCCTCTTTTCAGTCAATGAAAATAAATGGCATTTATTCAAAAGCGTAGTACTTAGCTACTAAAGAATGTTAAAAACTTTCCAAATAGTTGCTTTGAAGAAAATAGTCATTTATTGTCAAAGCATCCAACATACCCGGATAAACTATAAAGTTTAATAAATCTTTTCAGGGATAAAAGAAACACATAACTATTCAGACTCCATTTCACTGGCACAAAATTACACTTTGTATTAAAAGGAAATACATATTTACATAATTGATGACATTCTTCATTGAAGTCCATAATCATTTCATGATACATGCACTTTCCCCTGGAAACTTAAATTGAATGGTGACCCCCTTTTTATCCATTTTGTTTACTTTTGTAAGAACACAAGCTGTCATCAAGAAATGCAGAAAGCATCTCACCCTCCTCCATTACTTTATATCTAAAATAAATTTTGCCCTTACATATAATATTATATCTAAACCGTAAGTGCTTAATAATTTAAGTAGAAACGTATGACAAATGCATCAATATGTTGCAATATATGACATTTTTAAAAATGTACTTTTGTTTTTGGGAAAGTGAAAATGCGTGCATTCAAAAGAAAAACCCCTCCATCAAAAATCCACCATCGTGTGTGTGTGTGTGTGTGTGTGTGTGTGTGTGTCTCGGGTAAACACTGAATGAGAAGGCTCCTGGGGTTGGGGCACGTTTGTGTGTGCCCCCGTATGTTGGTGTAGTGTTTGGGGGCACAAGGAAGTGGTGGATGTCCTCTCGTGTACTCCTGCAGGTGGCTAGACTGCCCGCCAGCGACGGGAAAGCTGAGGTCCTTTCCATGTCAATTATGCGAGGTCATGTGCCTAGACAGGTGGTGGCGCTCCCTGAAGGACTCATTGCAAATGGGGCACTTGAGTTTCTCCTCCCGCCGCCGCTTCACCAAGGGCTCCATCGCATACTCCTTTTTGTGGTGCGACCTCATGTGGTACACTAGGTCGGAGGTCATGCGGAAAGAGGCGTTGCACTTGGCGCACCAGTTCTGCGCGGGCAGACACAGCGAGGTGAAGGAGGGGGGCAGCAGCGTGAGCGCCGACGGCAGCTGCAATTGCAGGGGCCCAGCGGCCGCTGCAGCCGCAGCTGCAGCCGCCGCTGAGCTCTTGGGCCAGAAGGCTGTGGCGTAGAGGAAGGGGCTCTGCTTGGGCAGGCTGCCACCGCTACTCGGCAGGGCCCCGCAACCTCCGTTCAGGTCCGCGGCCCCCTGGAGCTTCACCGCCAGAGGGTCAGCAGCGGCCGGGTAGAGTCTGGTGGGACCCACGCCGTCGCCAGGATGGCAAGGCTCGAGCGCTCCCAACTTCTGGCCCAGCACCAGCGGGGACAGCTGTGAGAAGGAGCGCGCCGGCTGCGAGAAGGCGCTTTTGCGTTCGTCGGATGCTGCGCCCTGGCCACCGCCCGCACTACCTGAACCTGCTGACCCCGCGCCGCCCCCTGCGCCGTTGCCTCCGGAGCCGCCCAGCTGTGGCACCGAAGTGAAGGCGCTGCCCCGCGAGGGACTACCGCCCTCCAGCCTGCTGGGCAACGGGCCCCCGGGCCGCGGGGCCAGCAGCTTCTCCGCGCCTGCCGGAGACGCAGCCGCCGGCGTGGAAGAGCAGCCGCCACCACCTGTGTCGTGGTCCTCGGCAGTGGTGCTCCCACCATCCACAGTCGCCTCCTCCTGCAGGCCGGCCCCGCGGCCAGCCTTCTTCACCTCCACGAAGGCGCTGCGCTTCGCCTCGCCCGTTTCTGGGCTGGGTGGCGCGAAGAGGCGGCCGTTTTCTTCCAGGCTGAAGTAGCTGCCAGAAGCGCGGTACTGCTGCGGCGTGCAGACCAAATCCTCCTTGGAGGCTGGCAGGGGCCGCTCGGCGAAGCGCGCCCGGCCCCCCACCAGCCCGGCCCCGCCGCCTCCGCCGCCCTCCACAGCCTCCTCCGGGAATTTCCTCTTCCCTTTGCAGACGCCGGTGGCTATGCCGTCGGGACTCAGCTCCGCCTCCTGGTGGCCTGCACTGCCGCTGCTGCTGCTGCTGCTGCTGAGACTTTGGGCCGGGGAGCAGCTGCTGCCTCCCCGGGAATTTTCCAGTTCCCGGGCCAGGTTGTGAAAGTCTGTGGATGGCTTTGCGCTGCTGCCGCCGGCGGCGGCGGGTGGGTTGCTGCTGTCCGGAGAGGGGGCCGGGTAATGATGGATGGGGCCAGCCTTGCAGAATTTGGGACCCGGACCCAATGACGTCTCCTGTTGCTGCTGCTGATGGTGGTCTTTGCCGCCTCCTGCGCCCCCGTGGTCTTTGGTGCCCACACCGCCGCTTTGTTCGTCGTGGGGACTCATATCAGCGCTGTGAAGTCTCTTGGGGCAGCGGAAACGCAGATGCGCTACGTAGGGGAACTCAAACTGGAAACGTTGGCTGCATTCCAGGCATGTGTAAGGGGACGACCCTGCTTAGTGAGCAAACACCACACACGCACAGCACATGATTACTCAGCATCTCTCGCAGGCCACTTTGCCATCATCCCCTTCACAAATCCACTTTTATCTTTCAGGGTCTGAAGGCCCGAGAAAAAGAATACACCATCTGACCTTATCTAACTTTGCCTCCTGATTTGGGGGAGTAGATTATTCAAACACGTGTGCCCCTACCTATCCTCGCCTGTCTGTCCCAGTTTCATTCTGTACTACCCCTCAGAAGCTTCCTGTAAGAGTCGCAAAGGTAGAAAGGGCGCACCAAGGCGCCCGGGTGAGACTCCGCTGTTCCCAGCACCTCTCCCCAGCTAGCGAGGGGCCCTCATGCAGGTCGCAAAACCAACCTACCATTCATTTTGTTGTGGGATCTAGAGGGGCAGAGTAAGAGTAACTCAGTCAGTTCTTTCCCGTACCAAACTAGTAATTCCTCATCTTTGGCAATCCTGCGGAGAGAGCGGTAAAACAGCTGTCCGTTTTTGATATAGGCTTCAAGGTTCTGTTCTTCTTTATCTCTGGCTGATTGGACCAGCCGCAGCCACATGAGACCTTCTGAGGAACCATTTGCCGCTGAAGTGTCTACCTACAGTTCAAAATAGAAGAAAGAAGACAAGAGGGAGGGGAGAAGGATACCCAATGAGAGAGAGAAACTAGGATAATTTCCTATGTCTTTTCCAAAGAATCATCTGAGTCCAAGCTTCCAAAACTTGACTAAGTTGGAATACATGCCTATGTTTTTAACCAGTAGACAGGAAAACTATCCTTTGAAATTTTACATCAATCATATAGATTATTTAAGTGATCGTTTCCACATATTGGTTGAATACTAGATGAGGAAATTCCTTTTTACAATATGAATTAGTGTCCCTCTCTTCAGAATTTATTTCCAAATTATCTTACATTACTAAAGTCTGGAGAATTTTGTTTGGGGAAGTAAAAGGCAAACTTAGATCTTAGAAATTATTCTGTGGCACTCATCTTCCTAATTTTGGCATGGACAATTAATGGCTTTTCTTTGTAAAGGAAGAATAGGAAATGAGAGGCCTGATCAAATTCAAACATATGGACTGATGCTATGCGGTCAAAACAATTAACATTTTTACCTAAATACAAACTCTGGTCACTAGCTAATGTTATCAAAAGAAAATAATACTTAAGAGATGGGGAGGCCTCCTAGGTTGGAAAGTAAAAGTACTCACAGAAAGTACTTAGTATGCAAATAGTTTCAGTCCCAGTGAAATCTCCCAAAGAATTTAGGAAGTCACGTTCATCAAGAGGAAAACCCAGAACTGACATACTGATTCAGACATTTCTAGCATTCCCTATCAAATTTTGTCATGTATTCCAGAAAAGCAGTTGACAACAATTTGAGTTTAATTTTTCTTCTCTAATTTTAGGTGTATAAACCAATATTGCTTGCATTATTGCATTTTCTACATTTAAAACCTGTCTCTACTTGTCATTAAAATGATTCTTAGTCCATTTTCAATAGGACTTTATCCTCATACACCTACACAACACCAACGGAGACTTACCCGAAAGATATAAGGTACTGTTCTCTTATCAGTAGACTTGAGAGCTATGAAAGCTATGCTGTCATACAGGGAAGTATGGCTCAGAACACAGGGACCGAATATAGCATTCTCAGGGATGTCGCAGGTTGTGTAAACACTGGTAAAAATATCTGTCAGACATTGTTGGACAGCCTTGGCATCTCCATCCCAGATGCCCCGCTGGATGCCTGAATCCTCCATCACTAGAGAAAGATACACAAGATAGGGAAGTGAGTTACATTATTGCTTTTCCTGCTATGAACCCAGGCAGAGCACTTCCACTACTAGACAGATTTTTCTTGTACTTGCCTGATTTTTTTCCTAGCTCATACGTTTAAAAATAAAGCAGATTAATCTGCCATATATACAAGATGCCAACTAAGAAGTAGTTTCCTCTTCTTCTTCTTTTTAAATTTAATAATCAGAATGATAGGAGATCCCCAAAAGAAAAGAAAGAGCTAGGAAAGACTAGATCATTTATTTGTGCAGTACTTTGGCAATAGATGGAGTTTGGGGTGAAGATAAGGAAAGAAAAACATTTTTTAAAACCAACCTATATCAGATTTCTTAAGTGAAAGAAACTTAACCCTTGAAGAAAAGATCTTATCTTTCTATATATTGAACTGAGTGTCTAAGAGCTGTTTTTTTCCTTTTCTTCCAAAGAGGGAAGCAGCATTAGCAAGCAGGCGGAGACAGCGGAGCATGGCGAATGGATTTCAAGTGGAGTGTCAGGGCCACTAATTCCGTGTCAGCTAACCTTTCTCTGCAGCCTACAAGAAGGGACGTATGTCTGCTCATTACCATAATCCAACACTGTCCCTCCGAGGCTTTAATTAAAAGCAGCAAGCAGAGGTAATTATTTTTTTCTCGACATGCTTATTTATGGATGAGGGTGAATCCCAGTTACCTTGTTATACAAGAGGGTGTATTGAGTTGCCTGTGGCCCATGAAGTGAGGAGGTACAGGGCAAGTCTGAGGTGTCCCCTGTCTGAAATACCGTGTGTAATGACTGGTGAATTCTTTTTTCCCCAGATACGACCCTGTTTGGGCAAGAGGGGGCAGCCCTGCTTGAATAGTCCTCAGTGGGCTCTCCAGCTGTTTAATCCGCAGCAGTTTAGAAAGTAAAGCCCCAATGGAAGGTTCTCTATTAAGCTGTCATAAAGGGACATTTCCCTTCTTCTGTCACTGGACACCCCCTACAAGGCTTATCACTTAAAAACAAAACAAACAAACAAAAAACTCCAGATATTTAAAATTTTAGACTAATTCTGAAGTAGCTGCATTGTTTGCTCTTTATGACTAATCAAAATATTTCTCCAAGTTGGTTTTCTCCTAATCTAAAGGTAGTTTTCCCCCACCGTTGGCAATGATCTGTTTATATTTTTGTAGAATTTAAGTAGCGGGAAAGAGTAGACCTCATTCTTTTCCTGCAAAGCTATACATTAGGTAATAATATTAGCAAAGTCTATTTTTATCTTAATGTCTATTAACCAATTAGTCTTTCAAATGTGATGACAAAGTAGTGTCTTTTTCTTCGTCTTCCTTTTCAGCTAGCGGAGCCTAAAACTTTGGTCAGCCTTTTCCTCTTATTCCCCAAATGGCAAGTGCTGGTCTGTATCTGCCAGACAGCAGAAATAAAGAAAATACCCATAAAGTACAAATTTTATTGTGCTACACAATTTATCCCCGTGCATTTTAAGCCCACACGAGGTAGCCTTCCTCATGTCCAATTGCAAATTAAAATGCATTTTTTAAAAAAGGACTTATCATCTTTTCAAGCGAATCCTATTTTCCCTTTCTCAATTTCCTCCAGTTTAGCATTTTATGTTCTAATTTTTCTCTTCTTTTAAAAGTCTCTTTCACACGAGCGTTTCATTGTGCCTGGAGGTCGCCCGCCACTTTGGGCAACAGAAGGGACGCAGTCATTAAAATGCAGTTCTACCTAACAATACGGTGAAAAGGTCCTCGCTATGCCGTGCTAATAGCCGTCAGCTTAGCCACCGCAGCCGCCACGAGCCTCGAGCCAGTCACAATAACCCGTGGGCAAGAGCCTGGGCTCGCTAACCCGCGCAGTCGCCTTTGCGACCCAACCTTTCACAGCTCTGCGTCCTGCTCTAGGCCCAGGGTTCTGATCCACCAGGGGGATCCTCCCCAGAGCCAACAGGACTAGCTGAAAGCTGGTCGCTGCTGCCGGTCGCTCGCCCTCCCCTCTAGGCAGGCATTGTCTGGCTGCCGCGCTCTGCCCAGTCCCTTGCTTCTCGGGCAAAGTGCTCCCCAACAGCTCCTCCCTTTGTATAATCTTATTGGCAGTAGAGATCCCCTTTAATAATCATTTTCCCCTGCTCTTCTAGAAAACCAGGAGAAGAGGACAAAAATTTCCACTCTTCCCACCAAACCTGCCTTCTCCCATCCCCCTCCCACATCAGTGCAAATAGACTTACCAGGAATAAGGTCAGAATCTAATCGCCCAAATAAGGCCACCTGGACCAGGAAGATGCAATCGAGTGTTTCTTTTTGCCTATTGTATCAGTGTATTTCCATGTCAAGAGGTGTTGGTGTTGCTGTCTTATAGGCTCTTCCTAAAGAGAGGAGAGATGGAGAGATGGGGAGAGAAAGATGAGGGGAGGGTAAGAGGAGAGAGAGAGAGAGAGAGAGAGAGAGAGAGAGAGAGAGAGAGAGAGAGAGAGAGAGAAACGGAGAGAGTTGTACAGATGGACCCGATGCAGTGACTGACTGGCACGCAGACACACACTTTTTGTTTGCTGCACATAATCTGCCCAATGACGCGTGACAGCCCACGTCCCCTCCCTTTAACTCTTTGCTGGGCTGGGCGCTCCCTCCGGCGCCGCCTGCCTGGAAGCCTTCTCTCCGGCCTGCTGGAAGCCTTCTCCCGAGTCTGCCCCGTGCCTCAAGAATCCAGAGCACCTTCCCGAGTGGCAATGCTTCTTCAAGAGCGGCCGGTCCAACTCTACCTAAAAGCTTGGGCCCTCTGGGACTGCTAGGAGGGGGAAATCAGTTTCAGGATCGGAAAGAAAGGTATCCAAAAGACTGTAGACGGGCTTTTTCCGTTTTGCTGGGAGTTTGGAGGACCTAGGTCAGAGAGCTGGACATGTAGCATGTGCGTGGCCCCCGCGCATGTATCTCCAGAGTTTGAGTTCTGTGGACCAGAGAGGGTTGTGGGATTATTCAGGAGGGATTCTCGGGCCACTGAGCTGCCGCTGATATGCGAAACTATTGCCTGGGGTGGGGGGTGGGGGATGATAAAATGGGGTGGGGGTGGGAGCTGTCTTTACTAGTGCTCACACTACTAATCCCTCCCCTGCAAAATTGGAAAGGGCCATACTTGGGTGAAAACTTGGCTTAAGCTTTCCGTGGCCCAGGAGATGGGTAAGGGGATAAAGTGGGGATGTCGCCAGACCTCCGAAAGGGTACTTATACTGGTCTTCGGGTCCCAGTACACTGGTACCTGGGCAGGGATGGGAGGACATTCACGGGAAGAGCCCAAGTTACCGGACAAGATGTTTCTGCTTTTACACCCTCTGTGTTTTGGGTTCTGAGTAGTCCCCGAGGGGGTCCCATAATGGGAGTAGCCAGTACTGTAAGACGTCGGTGTGGGAATGATTTAGAGTAAAAATTATTACCGAGATGGACTCCAAAGAGCTTTTTCACGTCCAGTCGGTGATGGAGGAGTGGATGGAGTTGCTCAGGCCGTCTCCGGAGCCTCGTTTGTGCTCTAAGCTACTTAGAGGTTCCGACTTACCCTTTAGTGCAGCAGCTGATGCTAATGACTTGAGGTCTTTAACAGCCTGAAAGTTGACAATTTCACAGGGGCCTTCGGGGCTCCTTTTCACTGTTCAGCTCTCTACTCCTAAGGGAAGAAAGACCTTTGGGTGGTATAGCTGATCCCTCAATTCCCACCCACACTATCACTACATTGAAGTGGGCAATCTGTCAGCTTTAGGATAAATCGGATTGTGTAGCCGGCTAAAGGGCAAGAGGCAGAACCACGATTTGAAGAGGAGACAATCTCGGTCAGGCTCCCACCCCCGGGGTTGAAATAAGGTGAGTATAATAGGGGTTGGCAAAAAGCCTCTTACTGTGTTAGTTGGATCCATTCACAGCTCTGAGACCTCTCCCAATAACCCAGGGGTTAACAAGGCACTGAATGTCTTTCCTTGCAGGCGCCTGCCCTCCATGGAGGCAGGAGATGGAAGGATCTTGCAAAGCAGACGTGAAGTGTAGGGAATTTCCCAATGAGTTCATTTCCATAGGGTCTCTTCTCCCAGTTTATCTTACCTGGTCAGCACCCCACACAAGTTTGCAGTCCTTCAGATCAGACAGAGCCTCTACCTAGATTAAGGTGGGAACCCAATAAGGAAAGGGCTACAAAAATCTCCATGTATGGGAGAAAGGGCAGAATTTTCCCTTCTCTTGCAGGTTAGCTACTGATTTTTCAAAGAAAGCTTCTTGAACTGCAGTTTTTTTTTTTTTTTTCATCTTAAGGTGTCATTTCTCTTATGCAAATATATGCAGTTTTAAGTAGTTTGGCTGAGTGACCCCTAATAACAGAGGCTCAGTACAATGAAGGCTAGCATGTCTGCATATGAAAATCCGCAGCTGTCTTTAGTTATCTTGATGGCTGCTCTATCATGTCTCATATTCAACTGTCCTCTCCCCATCCCAATCACTTCTTTAAAGGATGGGTGGGAGAGTTACAAATGTTGAAAAGATTGCTTCAAACATCTGGGGAAAAAACACTCAAGATTGAAGAATAATGGCAAGATTCTTAAGTGAAATGAGAGAAGAGGAAAAAAAAAAAAGAAAGAAAGAACAGGAGGAAAAGGACAGCAAGTTAAGAGAAAAGTAGCCAAAACAGAAGTGTAGTCCTGCAGAAACCACAGCAAGATACAGCATGTGCTGGGGTGGTGTGAGGGTGGTGTTCAGGAATTTAATTCCATTAATCTGAGGAATAGAACACTTCTTTGTGCCTGTTTTAGCTATTCTTTAGAAAACACACAGTTTGTCTTTTTCAGAAAAAAGTCATCTGTCCATGCAAGCCACTTTTGTAATCCTATCACACACAGTAAATGTAAAAGCATCCACTCCAGAAGATGGGCATTTAGAAAAGAAGCTCTAAATGGAAGACATTTTTCTTGTGCCTTGCTTTTTTTCTTAAGTATAGAGAATGTCTCCTTTCTACTTTATACTATGTCTCTTTTACATATGAGACCTTGTCTCCAGTTTGTATAATACAAAGAGTGTTTCTGGTACTTAAAATGGGGGTGGGTAAACTTGACCTTTAAATCTCAAGCTAGAAAAGGACTACAATTGTATACATCAGAGAAAGGAGAGGTTTATTGAGAATCTGGCCTTCAGATGTTTCATCTCAGTTTCTTTTTCTTCTTTTTCTTTCTTTTTTCTTTTTTCTTTTTTTTTTTTTTGCCTAAATTAAGATTCCTTCTCCTGCTTTTTAAAAAAATCCTCAAATTATAGGGATCCAACCAACTCTTTGTTTTATGGACCAAATGACTAACTTAACAACAGCAATAAAAATCAAATATGGGTAAGAAATTCATGCTTGGAGAGTTTTCCAGTATTTTAAGTAGTACACATTTTACATGGCAATATAAATGGTGTAAATGACAATCATTAATAGTAGATTTAAAAAAATCACAAATTATTTTTATTTCTCTAGAACTTCACAGGTTAGAACAGGTTAGAATGGTGCATAAACTACTTTGAAATCACTTACTGGAATTCAGTGATACTAAATGAAGGGTTGAGGAATTTATTCAGTCTCAGACAGTACTATAAAAATATACCTCAGTCAATAGTTTTATGTAATTGACACGGAATGATGGGTTTATGCATACATTTGGAGCTCTTTTCCCTGGGATTTTATTTCCAATTAAGTGGTTAGAAGAATGACAATGAAGAGTATGCTCACCTTACTCTGCTTTAGCAAGACTTCTTGTAATCATGGTAAAAATACACATGTAGACAACTGCAGTGTTGTTGGGAAGAGAAGTCTGAAGAGAAGTTGATGAATGATTCTGAAGTGGTGCCTTTTATGACTTAAGTGAGTGGGTGGAGAATGAGTGAGAAAGGAAATCTGATTCTCAGTGAATATCAGAAGAAGAATGCTCTTTCTCTTCCAGGGTCCAGAAAATATCTTAACTTCTGTAATAGGAAACAAGTAAAAATAACCCTGCAAATAATCTTACTTTGAAGATTATTATCCTATAAGAATGAAAACACATTGTTTTCCTATTCCAGGTCCCAGTTCATCCCTTCTAATTATTTTTCCAAAGCAATACACCAGCAAAGGTTTGCTTGTCAAAAGTGTGGCAATACATAGTGAAAAGAAAATTGCACTTGAAGACAAGAGGATGCCAATGAAGCAGATGAAGCAGACGGTGGCAGTTCTTCCCTAAGTTTATTAATTTCCCACAGAGAGGTCTGTGCATGGGGCTATTGGGAGTTGTGGGAGACAGAGAATGGAACTTCATGGAGAAGTATTGCATTACTTAACCCTGACATCCAGAATAAGGAACTTTCTAAGGGATAAACTTGACTGATTACTTGTACATGAAGGAGAAACAGAAATAATGGTTTGGTGGGTAGGGAAAAACTACCAGTCTTGTGCCAAAAGTGTTGTTCAGAGGGTTGTTAACTCATTTCTTTTCCCTTTTGTCAGGAGAATGATAATTGGGAGTTTAAGAAGGGAAAGTGGAGAGCTGGGGATAGAGCTTGCCTTGCATGCACAAGGCCTTGGGTTCAATCCCCAGCACCACACACACACAAAAAAAAAAAAAAAAAAGAGAGAGAGAGAGAGAGAGAGAGAGAGAGAGAGAATCTTAATCTGATTATTTCTTTATTATATCTTGATGAGTAAAGAAGAGCTGCTGCTGAACTGCATAAAGGTTTATAGGGAATGAGGGGGGCACCCTATATTTTTATAAGTATATAAGTATACATGACAAGCTCTGTTTAGGTCTGGTCATTACACCAAGTATTTGGGTTGGTTCACTGGGTGATAAATGAGTGGATGTTACCCAGGCTGGTCCTGAGAAAGCCAGAGACTCAGGAGTGGATAATTCTGTAGCCTTGAAGAAGGTCTTCAAGTTTCTGACTGTAGAAATCATGATTCTGGATTCACTTTTGTCTGCTTCTCAATAAACACTACTGTTTTAATGCTGATGATGATACCACTAGTATTATCATCATGATTAAAAATCTCCCTTTCTCAAGTTTAAAATCTTTCTCTGTGAGGAATGATAATTCCATTTACATTTCTTTTGGAGTTCATCATTGAAAGTTTTGTGTTGCCCTCTCCTGTTAACCTCTACTGGATCTGACTTGTAGTCAACTGGCTCAATGGCTTCAGTGTATGACTTTCAGAAGAGCTAACAAACTAAAGTGATCTACTACAGATCTGAAATCAATGCCTCATGCTCATCTATGTGTGATTTCTGAACCAAATCAAATATCCTGATCTGCTAGAGTATCCTAGCTTTTATGCCCCTCCCTAAGATAAATGTCTAGAGATATAGCAAGGAACAGCTGGTTTGCTGTCAGTCTCACACATTCAAAAACTCTTCTCAGACTCAGACACCACAGACATTGAGCAGATCTCAGAATAGGGTTGTGGGGAGGAAAAAGAGCCAAGTCAGTCGGTCAGTCAGTCAGTCAATCATCACATCAAGCCTCTTCATTCTCTGGTCCAGGTTTTCCATACAAAGGGATCCTGGGGGTTTCTAGAAGTATCAAATGTGATTTTTGAGAAGACTGACCATAGGCCTTGGGAATGTCACCAACATGAGAGGCTAAACATTAAATTTCTTCACTCAACCAGGAAGAAAAAACATTATCCCAAAATTCAGCACTTGAGTTTCATCCCTTTTCTTCTCCAATTTAGGTTTGGTATAATTACTGAGTTAATAAGAGAGGCACTGATTTACAGGCAGTGTGTACTTCCTGGGCGGACTCTTCCCTAGCATTATATTCCAACTGGCCTTCTGAGTGAGTTGTGCACTTTGACTGTGAGAAATCAGGTTGCTGGCAATGAGGGGGCAGAAAGCTTTGCTCTCCTGGGGAAGGGGTCTAGGCAAAGGGAACACATGCTCAGGCCTTTTGGGCTTGGATGTACCCCTGGCATACTTCCCTGAGACCTGAGGAGACAGGAAGTGATATGAACTAGTAACCACAACGATGATAATTTACATTGCTTTGTAAATATCCAAACACCCAAATTGCTCCCCTGTTTATATTGCCAATTAATCTATTTGAATTGAAGACCATCTTTCATAATTTCAATTCAAATGAATTGTGGGTGTTTCATAAGTTAGCATCAGTGGAGAATGTCTCCCTAAACATTATATAGAAAGCCTACTGCTTTCATCAGATTTTTCAAAAGCACTTAAAACTATCAGTGTGAGTCTTTTTTCATTGCTAATACTTGGAGAAGTAGTCTCCTAAAGAATTCACAAACAATAGTAACATCATAAAGTCTATAAATAATACTGGATGTACCTTACCAAGTGGAAGAACTAATTGACAGGAAGGATCAAAACTTATATTTGTTCTCTTGAACTTGAGTGAAAAGCTTCTTACCACACTGTTGTGATAGTCTCTGGCAATATAATAACATAACTAAGATATCATTCATAATCTCTAATATTTTAAGAAAAACCTATGATTTAAAAATGAATACTATCCAGAATTTCCAAATAAATCCTTCATAAATTCCTAAGAATAAACACACTAAATATGGTGACCAGGATATTGATATTTTCTAGGCCTAGAACTCAATTTAAATACAAATATCATTGTACTTGAGAAGATATAGTCTTGTGTGTTCACATGAGCACATGTCTGTGTTTAAGACATCTAGAGGTAAATATTGTCAAAGGTAGTCCTAAAGAAAAAGAAATTTCAGGACTGTAATTTTCCTTGGCTGCATGTTCAAAAAGTAGCTAGTGCTCCTGTTTTCATGTGAGATGGTTTTGAGAAACTAGTTTGTGTGAAATAACATGGTAGAACAATGGGTCCTGGAAAGGCAAGTGGATAGAGTATAAAGAATATATTGAGTATAATTTTACTGTCTAACACCTTATGTGTGTATGAACAGATGTCCCTCAAGCATAATTTAGAGTTTACCTAGGCCCTAGGAAATTAATCTTTCCAGATAAGAGGCTGGTGTTCCCCTGAACTTGTGAAAATATCCCAGAGAAAAAGTGACTGCTCTCAGAGTCTGTCTCCAAGACCCCTAACTGCTGAGTGGAGCCCAAAGTTTGGGTAGCAAGGCACGAACTGCTAGACTGGGCAATTTCTGATGCCTGAATTCCATGGTGCCTATGTCTCAGTAAAATGCCCTGCGACAGAACTAAGAATGCATGGCCAAATGCCGGGCTTCAAAGTAAGCAAACAGGTCTCTCTAAGAGAGACAAGGCATCTGGCAGTACCTTGAAGGGCACACACCTCTTCCACTACATTAGCGTTCATTTGCCAAAGAATGCAGAGCACTGATTTGGAATGTGACCCAGGCTGGACTAGCCCCCATCAGCTGCCGAGATCACCTTACAGAAACAGCGTGGGCAAACCGTGAACTCAAGGCAGGTGAAGGCCACGTGGTGCACACAGTGCATTCCAGATGCAAAGCAAGAAGGAAGTTCAGTCCCCAAGGGCCAGCCTTGTTTCCCACGTTCTCTAACCTATCTCTTCCTTAGGGTGCCAACACTTGCTTCCCGCTTGGCGACCACTTTCCGCGCAGAAAGACGTTCCCAGGGCAGGGTCTGAGAGAACAGCAATGCTTTTCACCCCAATACTACCCTTTACCTGCCCCTGCCCATGACTTTTCACGATTGGTCACCCACGTCCCTCTCGCAGAGCGTTCCTCCCTGGTCCCGACTCTTATTAGCTAGGCTGCGGGTGACCTAGCTCAGCCTTGATTTCCCTCCAGTGGAACTAAGGCTGGCAAGCGCTGCCTCCAGCATCGCAGTGAGGACTCAGTAAGGCAACCAGGGCGAGAGCGTTTTGGAAAGCCAGTTGCTGAGCAGATGGTAAGGGATTACTTCCAAGAGCCAGGGTTACTTTCATTTCAGTCTTGTACATCCCGGGGAGGCCTCAATACCTTTGTTAACGAACATTCTCCTTAGTTAGAAATCTAGGGAACTGACCAAGGGACCAGCAACTCAGGCTCCGGCAACCCCACAACTCCACCAAGGGAACCGGACTGCCTGGGTTCGACTGGAGACCCCTTAACGGGAAGTTAACTGGTGTATGCTGTACGGGTGGACTGAAGGCAAGAAAGGAAACCATTTCATAAAGTTATTGTGAGGGCTGAGTTGCAACTTAGCAAGCACAGAGACCTTCACTGCCTTCACTTTTTTTTTTTTTCACTAGAAAATAGGGGAAGCTTATTGAAGCTTTTTAAAGCTTCACCGAATGAAGGCTGAGGAGTTCTCCTTGTTGCTAGGAGATCAGATGGAGGTACTGGTGGATAAGTAGGCAGGTGGAATCTGTTCAGGATCCCTACTACCTCTGAAAGACCTCAAAGTTCCAATGAGCATTTAGCCATTATCTTGTGCGTCGCTCCACCCCACACTGGCTTAAAGAAAGAGCAACCAATTTGCTCTGAAGGTCCGGCCTGGCAGATAGAGGTAGGACTTCTCTCCCCAAACACACCCCCAATGCCCATTCTAGAGTCCTTTCTTTGGGCCTCCTTGAGGGGCCCGATTTGCGGCTTTGGAAACTCAGGATGGCAAGGCCTGATGCAGGGCGACTTTGTGGAATGAAAAACATGTGAAGGCGACCTTGGTTAACTCAAGCTCAGTGGCCAGAAGTCAGGGACTGCGAAAGACGCGGTTCAGAACAGAAGCTCACAAAGGAGCGGGCCTGTGGTCCGGGAGGGCGGCTCCGGCCGGCCCTCCCCTACACAGGGGGGCCTGCGGAGGACCGCAGTGGGGCCTAACTCGCCAGCCACGTGGTTCTCACTCGATCCCGAGTAGGGCTACTTTTTCGCTCTCAGGCTCCCCTCCCCGCGCCAGCTCGCGGGCCACACTGGCAACACTGCTGCAGAATCCGCGGACCTAGACTAGTAGGGTCCAGGGAGCCTGGCAGAGCCGCGTCTTCCAATCCCACGCCTTTTCTGCGCAAGCGCAGCCCGGAACAGACCAGTTGCTTTAGCCCCCACGCCCCTTTCTCAGGCTCTGTGAAATCTCCAGCCCTGCCCCGCGACCCGGTCACAAAGTGTCTGTTGTGGGTTCCCAGTACCTCCTTCTTCTAAAGGATCCAAGAAGCAGTAATAGTAGAACGCGAAATTTGGGGTTCTGAACAGTTAACATTTGAACTCCGGATCTGAAGTCTACTAGCTGTGAGTCTTTTGAGTTAATCACTTAACCCCTCCGAACTTGTTTTCTTTCTTTGTAAAGTCCTTAGTAAAAGCATCTAACTCATAGAGTGAATATTGCAGGAGTAATCCTTGATTCAGGTGCCATTGGGTGACTTATTCTAGTTAGCATCGCTGGACTGCCTTTCCTGTGAAGCAGAGGGCTTTGTGATAATAGTAGCACTTAAGTCAAATGGTCATTAGACGACTTAAGTGCTATAAGGCTGGCACAGCATTTGGCCTCGCACACAGGAAGAGCCCAAAGTTAGTCATTTAAAGCACCTGAATGCATACCTTTTATTTTTAAGGCTTATCTCCCCTGTTACACCTTTTCTCTTCTTT